ACCCCCTTTACCGCCGCCCCTGCTTTTTTAGGGGGGAAGGGGGTGGTATAATGGAGAAAATTCATGGCAAGCGTCGGAGATAGATTGCCAGATGGCCCCATTTCGTCGTTGTTGCAGCCCACGCACTTGCAACATACATAGTCCTGGCCCCCCTTGCAAACCATGGTTGCCCCCGAAACCCCCTTTTTGTTGTGCATTTGCCGCAGCTGAGATTGAGTCGAGTTTGGCAGCTGGGTGGGCGGGGCTGAATGGCAAATTGCACGGCATTTGACAGCCGCATCCATTCAGCGGCATTTCCGTCTCATTTTTCTTTATTTTCGCTTTATTTTTTGTGCCGCAGCAATTGGAACTGCAACAGCAACAGCGAGTGGCAAGTGCAACTGCGCCACTGTTTTTGCGGCCATAATGCAAATGGCCACCGACGGACACCCTGAAAAGTAGGCTACTATGTTTCCATCTTGACAGGTGATTTGGAGGTGTGCAGCCATGAATTATGCGGGAGTCACTCTTTTGGGGGCTAGATGAAATCAGGATAGCCTTGCAAGGAAAAATATATAGAATATATCCTAGAAAGGCCTTTTTTCCAGTATTTTATAAAAGAAAATACTCTCTTTATGCAAAGAAAAAAATATAGAGGTAAAAGTGCCTAGAAAGGCCTTTTTCCGGTATTTTATTAAAGAAAGTATTTTCTTTATTTAAAAAAAATTTGTTTTCTTATAAAGAGAAATAAATATCACTGCTAAAAGAAACACTGTAGTAATCCCATTAATTTCATATTTAATTTTAATATTTTCTGCTATAATTTTCATACATTGCTGTTTTAATTTAATTTAATTATACCCGTTACTCGTAGAGTAAAAGGGAATACTAGATTCGTCGGAAAGTATGTAACAGGCAGAAGGAAGCGTTTCCGACCCCATAAAGTATATATATTCTTGATCAGGATCACTAGCCGAGTCGATCTAGCCATGTCCGTCTGTCCGTCTGTCCGTCTGTCTGTCCGGATGAACGCTGAGATCTCGGAAACTATGAGAGCTAGGCTATTGAGATTTGGCGTACAGATTCCTGAGCTTCTTACGCAGCGCAAGTTTGTTTCAGTAGACTGCCACGCCCACTCTAACGCCCACAAACCGCCCGAAACTGTAACTTCTACAGTTTTGATGCTAGATAGAAAAAGTATTGTGAAAAGTATTGTTCTCATCAATACCTATCGATTGACCTAAAAAAAGTTTGCCACGCCCACTTAAACGCCCACAAACCGCGAAAACCTGTGACGCCCACAATTTGCATGCTAGATAAAAAATTTTAACTGAAATGTATTGGTGTCGTCAATACCTACCTATTGATTGATCCAAAAATAAATTTGCAACGCCCACTCTAACGCCCATAACGCTTAAATCTGTCTACCGCCGGTAGGTGGCGCATTTTAATCTCGCTTTGCTGCTTGCATATCTCCATTTCCCTTTGAGTAACGGGTATCTGATAGTCGAGGTACTCGACTATAGCGTTCTTCCTTGTTTTTTAAATTTTTTTGTCCGATTATTCCTATGGGAGCTATAAGATATAGTTGGCCGATCCGGCTGGTTCCGACTTATATACTACAAGCAAAAGATATGACTTTTGGGAAAGTTTCAGCCCGATAGCTTTAAAACTGAGAGACTAGTTTGCGTAGAAACGGACGGACAGACGGACATGGCTAGATCGACTCGTCTAGTCATGCTGATCAAGAATATATATACTTTATGGGGTCGGAAACGTCTCCTTCACTGCGTTGCAAACTTCTGACTGAAATCAATATACCCTCTGCAAGGGTATAAAAACCACTAAAAAATGAGTATTATTGACCAAAATCTGAATCCCAAATAAAACCGAAAAAATTTGTCAAAAACTCAAAGCTCAAAACTGTCGGTATTTTAGCTGTACGCCTTGTTTTGGCTAAACTACGACTGGAAAACCACTAAAAAATGATTATTTATGAATAAAATCAGAAATCAAAAAAATCATGATGCAAGGGTTTGCAAAAAAATGCGAAAATTGGTTCAAAAATAAATTTTCCCGGTTTTCGTTGTTGTACTTGAAACCCTTCAACAAAGCAAACCCAAAAACAAGTAATGCTCAACCTTTCCCAAATAACATTTTTGTAACCAGTTTGTGGCATAAACATTTATTTTAAGTAAGTCGACCTTCTGAACAGCATATGGTTTAGTAGTGCAATATAATTCGTGTTTGTGTTACATTTGCGATATTATAAATTCGAGGTATGATGTATAATGTAGTGTATGTCGGTACGATAACGTTATATGGTTAAATAGAATATTTTATAATACGAGGTGTACTTCAATGTGTTGCGATGTGTTCTTCAGTACCTTCCATGTATAACATAATACGATGTATTTATTTACGAGTATGATGCAAGTCCTCCATCCTCTATCGCGCAGCTCCCAGTTATGTGTGGATACCTGGAATAGCTGCAAAGACAGGGGGCTTATTAAAGATAATCCTTAGATTCTTTGATTGTAGTACCAACCTCATCCTCAGGATAATAACGACGTCCTACTTCTGTTGAAGCTTACATGTTAAGGGCACATGCATGAAATTTCTTTTAAAAAGATTGTTGTAAGATTAATAGATCGTAACTATGATTCATTGAAAATAGATTACCTAGTTTAAATTTTAATTACACGAGTGTCTGTTAAAAAGTGAAAGCTCCGTTTTGTGGGTCCTTAAATACAATATAATTTTGAGAGGATAGCTGGAATGGCTGCAAGGTAAGGGGTATTGAACGTTAATCATTAGATTCTTAAATCGTAATACCAACCTCATCCTCCTGATTCTTCTGTTTAAGCCTATACATGTTAGGGGCACATGCATATTTTATATAAATAGATTACCTTAATTGGTGGCGTGTCTGTTTAAGTGAAAATTTCGTATCAGGGTCCTTAAATACCATATAATTTTGAGGGTTGCTGCCGATTTGCCGATTTCATTCCATTCATCCATTTTAACGATGTGGCTCAAAATTGTACGTCACTTGTGTTGAACATAGTGTGCTTTACCGTTTCCGTATCATCCAATAAATTTTGTTAGTTTTGGCTGCCTTATGCAAGGACTTTTTTGGTTACTGGCGTCTGCTATGAGCTCTCACGTGTGAAAATACCAAGTGTGTAGGTGTGTATTACGGAGGACTGGTCACGTTACATCCTGGGGCTATTCTACAGGTAAACTTAGTGTTTCACATATCTGAAAATGAAAAAAGTTCACTTTGTTAGACCGGAGAGTAAAAAATAACAAACTAAATAAATAAAATAAAAAAAAACTTGTTTTTCACTTGCCTAAATATGTTAATAAAACACGGAGATGTTGCATTGTCGAGCCCGAAAACGAAACTGAAATTATTTGGGGCTCTGTCCCTTAGGTCCAAATCCGAATCGATATTCGACTTGACAGTTAATTTCATGGCTAACTTGATGCATTTCCTGGCTACTAGATCGTTAGAAAAAATTTGCTTCGATTTAGTTTACTGTCTTTTTATACCCTTGCAGAGGGTATATTGATTTCAGTCAGAAGTTTGCAACGCAGTGAAGGAGACGTTTCCGACCCCATAAAGTATATATATTCTTGATCAGGATCACTAGCCGAGTCGATCTAGCCATGTCCGTCTGTCCGTCTGTCCGTCCGTTTCTACGCAAACTAGTCTCTCAGTTTTAAAGCTATCGGGCTGAAACTTTCCCAAAAGTCTTATATCTTTTGCAGGTAGTATATAAGTCGGAACCAGCCGGATCGGCCAACTATATCTTATAGCTCCCATAGGAATAATCGGACAAAAAAATTTAAAAAAATTATATCTTTGGTGTTTTTTAGCATATAACCTTATAAGCTTGGAAATAATATTTTTTAATTAGTTTTGAATTTTGAATTAAATTTTATTGAAATCGGACGACTATATCATATAGCTGCCATAGGAACGATCGGAAAACTGGTGGAAAAATAATATGAAACAAATTATAGCTTCGGTGGTTTTCAACATATAACTTCCAACGCTTGGAAATAACATTTTTTAATTAGTTCTGAATTTCGAATTTAATTTTATCAAAATCGGACGACTATATCATATAGCTGCCATAAGAACGATCGGAAAATTGGTAGGAAAATTATATGAAACAAATTATAGCTTCGGTGTTTTTTGACATATTATCTTATACTATTGGGAATATCATTTTTTGTGTTTTTAAATTTAATAATTATAGCTGCAAGGGTATATAAGCTTCGGCTTGCCGAAGCTAACTTTCTTTCTTGTTTTATTTTAATTTTATTGGACCTAATACTAAGGGGCCGAAAATTATCATTACACTGGACAACAAAATCACTAGCCGAGTCGATCTAAGAATGTGTCTTGCCTTAGGCAAGTACGTAGATCGGTATTACATTTAATTCTTAAATTATATTCCCATTATAACATTTTTGTAAGCATTTTGTGGTATACATTTTTATTTTAACTAGGTCGACGTTCTGAACAGTATTGGCTTGGCTACGTTACGTTACGTTACATTGTTTTTACGATTCTTCTGTACATGCATATAATTCGATGTGTGATTTACAATTGTGTGTCGGTACATAATCGTTATGTGCTAAAGTGTCTGGATAAATAAAACATTTTATAATACGATGTGTACTTCAACGCGTTGCTGTCTTCTTCAGCAGTTTGCAGGTATGATAATTTAATTCGATGCAAAGTTCAATATTTATTTTAGAGTGTGATGCAAATCCTCATTTTATCGCGCAGCCCCAGATATGTGGATACCTGGAATAGCTGCAAAGACAAGGGCTTATTAAAGTTAATCCCAAGATTCTTTAATGGCAGTACCAACCTCATCCTCAGGATTAACAGACGTCCTCCTTCTGTTTAAGCTTACATGTTAAGGGCACATGCATAGAATTTCTTAAAGATAGAGTAAGATTATTAGATCGGTACTACGATACCTAGTTGCAGCCTTAATTACACGAGTGTCTGTTAAAAAGTGAAAGTTTCGTAATTGGGTCCCTGAGTGACAGGCGTCCTTCTGTTTGAGGTTGTACATGTTAAGGGCACATGCATTTAAATTCCTAGGGGTTAGTTCTGGGATTAATAGATTGTAAATTCATTTTGTTTAAATATATTACCTTAATTGGTGGCGTGTCTGTTAAAAAGTGGCAGTTTCGTTTTGGGTCCTTGAGTACTATATAATTTTGAGAGGGTAGCTGGCGATATTTGGTGATTTTTCTCTTCCATCCATACCAAGTCAACGAGTCTTAACTTTACGTCACTTGTGTTGAACATAGTGTGCTTTACTGTTTCTATATCAGAGTATAACATCATCCAATAAGTTCTGTTAGTCTTAGCTGCCTTATACAAGGACTTTTTTGGTTACTGGCGTCTGCTATGAGCTCTCACGTGTGAAAATATTAAGTGTGTAGGTGTGTATTACGGAGGACTGGTCACGTTACATCCTGGGGCTATTCTACAGGTATACTTAGTGTTTCACATATCTGAAAATTAAAAAAGTTCACTTTGTTAGACCGGAGAGTAAAAAATAACAAACTAAATAAATTAAAAAAAAAAACTTGTTTTTAACTTGCCTAACTAAGTTAATAAAACACGGAGATGTTGCATTGTCGAGCCCGAAAACGAAACTGAAATTAAAAAAAAAACTTGTTTTTAACTTGCCTAAACAAGTTAATAAAACACGGAGATGTTGCATTGTCGAGCCCGAAAACGAAACTGAAATTATTTGGGGCTCTGTCCCTTAGGTCCAAATCCGAATCGATATTCGACTTGACAGTTAATTTCTTGGCTAACTTGATGCATTTCTTGGCTACTAGATCGGTAGAAAAAATTTGCTTCGATTTAGTTTACTGTCTTTATACCCGTTACTCGTAAAGTAAAAGGGTATACTAGATTCGTCGGAAAGTATGTAACAGGCAGAAGGAAGCGTTTCCGACCCCATAAAGTATATATATTCTTGATCAGGATCACTAGCCGAGTCGATCTAGCCATGTCCGTCTGTCCGTCTGTCTGTCCGGATGAACGCTGAGATCTCGGAAACTATGGGAGCTAGGCTATTGAGATTTGGCGTGCAGATTCCTGAGCTTCTTACGCATCGCAAGTTTGTTTCAGTAGAGTGCCACGCCCACTCTAACGCCCACAAACCGCCCAAAACTGTGGCTCCTACAGTTTTGATGCTAGAATAAAAATTTTAACTGAAATGTAATGTTCTCATCAATACCTATCGATTGACCCAAAAAAAATTTGCCACGCCCACTCTAACGCCCATAACGCTTAAATCTGTATACCGCCGGTAGGTGGCGCATTTTAATCTCGCTTTGCTACTTGCATATCTGTATTTAGCTGAGTAACGGGTATCTAATAGTCGAGGTACTCGACTATAGCGTTCTTCCTTGTTTTTTTTTTAATGTATCAAAATATTAAATGTATAATTTGTAGCTTATTCGAGGATTCCCCAATTTTTAAATTATCATACATGAATTATCATAAATGATTAATCAAATCATTTTGGAAATTTCATGTGAAACCGTACAATTTAAATACTTACTTAACATTTCACTATTATGTTTTTTTAAATCAATATGTTGATATTTTTTTTTAGCAGTTCCTTTTTTTTATCACTGTAGGCATGTGAGTTATTACCTTTACCACATCTTTTAATAATATTTTAACATACACAAAAATAGCAAAACCATCTTTCATTTGCCCAAATCTTCTGGATTTTATTAATCAAATCTCCGTAGATTGATTTCCTTGCTTTACTGTTAGGTTGAAATCAAAGTCTCACTCATAAAATCAAGATCCTTGTGTTTATACAAGCTTGAGTGAACATAAAAATCAATAATTCAGGCAATCAATAGTTACAAGGAGATAGCCATGTATCCCCCCACCGCCTTGACCCTTTCAATGTAGCCGAATTAATTGGCATGTCATTCAATTAAGCAAAGATAATTCCCCTAAAAATGCTCCAGTTACATGCAATCACAATTAGCCAGAAACAAAAGAAAAACCACAATAAATTCGGCTGGCGCAAAGGCAATAACAATTCAAATGGCAGTAACAATAACAATAAGTGCAAAGGCAACAAAAAAGCAGAAGAACATTTTTCAGCCGAATGCTTCGACATTTTCAGCATTTTCCACATTTTGCCACAATAAATAAGCAAGTAAATAAATAAATAAATAAATGCCTGCCCGTGTGCACACCGCACGTATTTAGAAAGAAGCGGCAATAAAATAAAATTAAATAAATTCTACGCTTTAGCCAAGGCCCAATGGCAAAGTGGTTGATAACGCTCTACACAAATATTCAATAAATATTTAAGTTCGAGTTCGAGTCCGAGTTCCAACGGAATATTTGCACTAGAATTCCGCTTAAATGCAACTTCAGCCTCGCATCGATGTGGCATATTTTCCCCAATTTGATATGATTTTCTTGGGCTGAACCATATTTATACCCAAGTTGTGATGGCTTTCCGACTTAACTGCGGTTGCAAGATGGCCAAGGGCAGCAAAGTGCCTAATCCAAAACATTTCGAAATGTTAGCAATTCAGCCTTAATTATGCTTCGATTTGTTAATCAATTTTGAATAAATGCCGAGAGTAAAGCAATAGATTATATTGATTTTCCCTGCCGATAAAGTGAAGTAAATATTTAAAAATATACATTAAATTATATTAAAATAATATTTTAGATTAATGCCAATACTAAAGCAAGCGAATCTCAAGTGTATTAATTTTCCTTGACATAAAAGTAAAGTAAATATTTAAAAATATAAATGAAATATTTGTTCAATCCCAAAAATGTTTTTCATAATTTAAATGATGATAAATAATTTGAATATCTTAATATCATACATCTAACCAGAGTAATTGCAATATTTATATTAACATTTAACCCTAAAATAAAATGTTTGTTAACTCTAAAACATTTTTTATCTTTATTTAAAATCTTATAAATAATTTTAGATAACATATCATATTTCCTATTGAACTAATTTTTAATTTTACAAATTAATTGAAGCTCGAACAAAGTTTTTATTAATCAAAGTCATAGCCAGTAATCAACTTATTTCCCCAACCTTTAACCCATGTCCTCTGTCACATTTCTGCTAACTGCTATTAAGTACTTATTCCTTGGATAGCCATCTCTTTTCCCTTAACCCATCCTGGTATTTACCCTCTCTTTTCCACTTCCCGCAGCAGCAAGCGCGCTAAAATGTTTCAATTTAAATTAATTATTGTTTGCACCACAAGTGCCATGGGCGGGCTGCTGAAAGGGGGGCAGAGGGGGCCTCGGCCAGGCAGCACAACTTTTAATTATGGTTACAAAGATTTTTAGTCCTTGTCGATGGCTGCTGTTGCTCCATGCCCCCCTCTCCTCAACCCCCCTCCCCAATTATTTCGCCAGCAAATGTCTGTCTGGCAAACCGAAAAACCCCCTTCTCTGCCAACCAAAAAAATCCCCTCCGCCCCTGTGCAACGCCATCAACTTTGACCAACATCGATTAAAACGATGAAAACGCGGAAAATTGCGCCAACTAGAGGAAAACTGCAGCGGCGGCAAATGAAAATGGCAAAAACAAAGCAAAAAGTCCAAAAAAACGAAAGGCAACTGAGGAAAAAATAAAAAAAAATTAAGAAAAAAAATAAGGGGAGAAGAAACGCTCAGAATGCAAGGCACTAGGCAAAAGTTGAACGTTTTTATTACGTCTGAAAAAGTTGTGCAAAAACGCGATTGCCGCCGCTTAAGAGCATCGAAAGGGTTAAGGAAAACCAGGGGAGGGGGGGTTAAGCAGAAAGAGGGGGGTTAAGTAAAAAGATGGGGAGTAAGGGTTGGGGGGCGAAAAGAATTGAAGTGGAGTTAAGGCAGTCGGCGACGTCATCCTCGAGTTGATTTAGGTTTTCCCACCCTTTTGTTTGTTTGTAATTTTAAAATGCTGTTAACTGGTTTTTGTTTCTGGATTCTTTCGGCTCCTCCAAGTCCCCTTTCTTCTTTCTCCGATTAACTCGTAAGCCCCCTTTTGCGCGCCCCTGGAACGTCCTCAAAACTAACGAATTAAGCACTATGGATTAAGCACAAAAAACGAGAAGGGCAAGGTTAAGGAGTACAATTATTCCCCAAAACGAAGAACAAACAGATAGAAAGAATTACTTTTATCTATTTTAAAGTCTATTTTGAGGACTGTAAATAAACATATTTATTTTAGAATTTAAAATGATGAAGTTTTAAATTCGAAAAGAGAAAACCATCCATTTCCATTAAAAATTGTTACCAAAAAAATTATTTAAGCAATATTTAAATTTACAAAACTGCTTAAAAATAGCAGAGATTGGTATCTAAAATATTTTCTAAGCAAGCAGCTTCCATAATTTATCAAAATAAGCTAGTTCTTAAAAGATTTATTGACTTTCTATGTTTTACAGAGTTTTTGTCGAATTAACTTTTTTTTTAATATTTGATATATTTAAAAAGTATTATAAAGGTTTGCCAGATGCCAAAATGGTATACGAAAAAACCTTGAAAGTCTGGATTACAGCTGATTGATTTGTCACCCAAAAAACGAGGGGTTTTTCCAAAGCTTCCAAGTGAATCCCAAATTAGCCGGTGATTCCCCGCTCATCAAACACTTAACCCTTTGTTGCCCATTGTGCTGGCACTCAATATTCCTTTCGCCCATTGTTGTTGCTTACTTTTCTTCCTGCTCACCCAGTTTTATTTTCGATTTTTTTTTTCGCAACGCTTTTGTGGGCGAACCTTCATAACGCCAACGCGGCAAAAATTGTTGGAAATTCAATTTGAGCGAAACTTGAAAGTGCCAGCGGCAGCAAATCCCCGGTCCACCGGCAAACCCAAAGTCACCTCGGCAGTCAGTGGGGTATTCCCCCGAACCCCGCCCACTGTTTATCCATGAAATTTAATTGGCTGCACTTGGCGGGGCGGCACAAAGAAATGCAAGAAGTAGCAACCGAAATCCACCTGGCGACGGCCACTTGAGTTTGCTTAATTAGTGCCCCGGTCCTGGCCTTAAAGTTGGCCCTTTTCAAGGACTTCGCCGGTGCTATTGTAGCTTTTAGCTCTTTAAGCTGTCGTGTGCTGGTGCCAAATCCGCCGCCAGACGTGACGTGACAATAATACCGAAAAATCTGTCAACCTAATGCGGGGAAGCCCACTTCACCCACTTCACCTCCTTTCCCGCGTGCCGAGTACTTTACACATTTTCCGGCACAGAGACAAAAAGCAAACATCTCAATGACACATTCATAAATATTTAATGAAAAAGATCATTTACCATCTGTTTCTTAAATCAATAAGTCTTTAAGTCATAAAAAAATCTTTAAAAATAAATGGTGCACGTAATGGAAATGAAATTAATAGGTAAAAGATATTTTAAACAGAGAGATTGTAAACTTCATTTTGAACCCTATTTTAATAATATAAAATTCGTTTACATATTTTTTTTAAATATTTTAATCTATAAAGA